AGCCATTAAGGTGAGGGGCCTGATTTCACACCTCCCCAAATGCTATGTGCTTGCCTTTATTGCATGTCTGGCTCAGGAGAGCTGAGCTGGAGGGACCAGGACTGGGGCAGGCTGAGCCCTCTGGTCTCTGTGCAGGAGAAGAAGATCTTCATGGTGCAGGGCCCCTACCCCACCATCCGCAAGCTGCTGCGGGCCCGGGGCTGGGTGGAGAGGAAGCCCCCCAGGGTGGGCAGACAGCTGGAGCAGCATTGTGGCAACCAGCAGAAACAGCAGCTGCAGAGGGAGGCAAGGGAGGATGGCGAGGAGCAGGGGGAGGCAGTGCTGAACCCACGTGGTGGGGCACAGCCTGCCCTGGAGATCACAGAGCTGCTGCACTCCCCATGGCCACCCACTGAGGAGGAGGAGGAGGAGGAGGAAGAGCAGTGCGAAGAGGACCCCAGTGGCATCCATGACCTCATGGTTAGCTGACAGGGCTGAGCTCTGCCACAGCCCCCAGCACCCTTCCCTGGGACCCCCAGGCATGGGGCACACCCTGGGATGGGGGCTCCATGTCCCACCCTGGTCCCTTCCCTCACAGTCCTACCTGGTGCGGCACCGAGTGCCAAACTTTGTCTGGGCCGACTACCTCAGTGCTGTTGACCCTCGGCTGCTGGAGCAGGACCATGTGGTGAACCACTATGCCCGAGTGGGTGCCTTCACCACCAAGGTGGGAACCCAGAGCCCTTGGAGAGGGGGGGGACATGAGGGGTGGGTTCACTAGGGACTGACAACCTTCTCTAAACAGGAGGGGCTGTGCCTCAGCCTGCAAAACCTGCCCTGGATCGAGCAAGCAGACTCCAACACCTTCTTCCCACGGTGCTATCGGCTGGGGACCACAGATGAGCGGGAAGCCTTCATCGGTGAGCAGAGGGGCGCTGCCCTCCTGTGCTCCCACTCTTCCCACATCCTGTGCAGGACTGATTGGGGACAATGCCTCCCTCTTGCAGACGATTTCCGCCTGACAGCAGCTCGCAGTCTGCTCAAACTGGCCCTGGAAGAGGCTGGGGACAGGCTGATGGGGACTGAGCAGCCCCCGAGCTCTGACAAGGGGCCAGGTGAGTGCATGGAGCTGATGGCAGGGACATGTCCAGGGGCTGAGCTTGGAGGCTGAGTCTCTGCTCATGGCTGTGGCCTGGGATCCCCTGCTCCCTCCCATAAACCCAGCTTATGGGTGCTCTGCCCCCCACCCCATCCCCATGCTACCAAAGCCACAGCTCCCAGAGGGAGGCTCTGTGCTGCTTTGGCTCCAAGGCTGGCATATTAGCCATGTCTCTCACCCCATACCATCCAAAGCAGGGACAGGATCTCCCCTGTACCCCCAGCTGGTGGAGGAGGCCCTGGAAGTCTGCGAGCAGCACCTGGGTGTTCTGGGGCACCAGGACATTGACAGGGGCACCCCGTTCCCCTGCAGGACATGCATTGACTGGGACCGCTTCCTGCAGGATTACTACTGTGTGGCACAGTGAGTGCGGAGTGGGACAGGGGGCAGGGGACACTGTGGTGGGGCTGGTGCTAAGCTCCCCATGTCTCCCCACAGTGAGGGGGCCGGGCTGGTGCTGAGTGGGGCACAGCGGGAGCGGTGCCAGGACCTGCTGCGGCGCCTGGCGGAGCAGCTGCCGCAGTTCAGCATGGAGGGCAAGCTCAACGTCTGGATCCTCAAGCCTGGTGCTGCATCCCAAGGCAGGGGTAAGGCTGGGGGAAGTGGGGGACACACACAGACTCCCCACCGAGGAGGGGTCCCACCGTCATTGTGCCCCTGTTCCCCAGGCATCGTCTGTGCGACGCGGCTGGAGGAGGTGCTGCGGTTGGCACGGGGCTGCACAGCCCCCTCGGTGCAGGAGGGCAAGTGGGTGGTGCAGAAGTACCTGGAGCGGCTGCTGACCATCTTCGGGACCAAATTCGACATCCGTCAGTGGTTTGTGGTGACTGACTGGAAGCCGCTGACCGTCTGGTTCTATGGAGACTGCTACCTGCGCTTCTGCTCCCGGCCCTTCTCCCTGCACTGCCTGGAGCGGTGAGTGCCCCCCAGACTGACCCCGCCCCCCAGACTGACCCCAGCACCCCTCTCCCCACCCCAGTGCCAGGCACCTCTGCAATGTCTCCGTCCAGAAGTGGTACAAGACATCACCAGACCAGGACCCCCGCGTGCCCTCTGACAGGGTCTGGTCCAGCAAGCAGTTCCAGGCATACCTGGCGTGGCTGGGGCAGGCAGATGCTTGGCATCAGGTGATAGTGCCTGGCATGAAGGCGGCAATACTGAGCGCCCTACGTAGCGCCCAGGACCAGGTGGGCTTCCGCAAGAGCAGCTTTGAGCTCTATGGGGCCGACTTTCTCGTGGGGGAGGACTGCCAGCCCTGGCTGCTGGAGATCAACTCCTGCCCCACCATGAGCCCCTCCTCAGCTGTGACCCGACGACTCTGCGCCAACGTCCAGCGGGACACGCTGCGCCTCGTGCTCGACCGCAAGGACAACCCCACCTGCTCCATTGGAGCCTTTGAGCTCATCTACAAGGAGGTAGGCTGGGGAGCTGGGGGGCAGGCACACCCTGGGCACCCCCAGTCCCCACTTCCTGCTGTGTCCCCACTCCCTGCTGTCTCCCCACAGGCAGCTATGCCCAGGCCTCTGTCCGGGCGCGTGAAGCTGATAGTCAAAGGCTGTTCCCTGAAGAAGTGCTGGTCCACACAGCATCAAGCCCACATCAAGCCCCCTGCCACTGTGCCCAGTGCCACCCAGCACCCTGTGCCCCCAAGGGTCAGAGACACCCAGGTGCCCCAGCGAGCACAGCATCAACCCCCCACCACTGTGCCCAGTGCCCCCAGGCTCCCTGTGTCCCCAGGGGCCAGAGACACTCATATACCCAAGCGAGCACAGCATCAGCCTCCCACCACTATGGCCAGTGCCCTCAAGCTCCCCATATCCCCAGGGGCCAGAGACACTTGTGTACCCAAGCGAGCACAGCATCAATCCCCCTCCACTGTGCCCAGTGCCCCCAGGCTCCCCGTGTCCCCAGGGGCCAGAGACACTCATATACCCAAGCAAGCACAGCATCGATGCCCCACCACTGTCCCCAGTGCCCCCAGGCTCCCTGTGTCCCCAGGGGCCAAAGACACTTGTGTACCCAAGCGAGCACAGCATCGATGCCCCACCACTGTGCCCAGTGCCCCCAGGCTCCCTGTGTCCCCAGGGGCCAGAGACACTCGTGTACCCAAGCGAGCACAGCATCGATGCCCCACTGCTATGGCCAGTGCCCCCAAACTCCCTGTGCCCCCAAGGGCCAGAGACACCCGGATGCCACAGCAAGCATGTCATCAACCCCCCACCACTGTGCTCAGTACCCCCAAGCTCCCTATGCCCCCAGGAGCCAGAGACACCCAGATGCCCAAGCCCAGAGCAGCAACAGGGAAGCTGCCTCCTCCATGGCAATGGTGCCGCCCCAGCTCTGGCCCCTCAGCACTGCCACAGCCCTGGAGCCGCTCTGCTGGGAGCCAGGGGCTGTCATGGCTCTGTCACCCACAGAGGCAGCCCCAAGCTGCTCAGCCCCTGATCAATGTCTGTCCCCTGGATAGGGTGCCCATGCCGCTGCCCTGGGGAGCCCCCAGCAACCCCTGGCTAGCCCTGGGCTGTGTCCCCTCCTTCCCTCCTGCCAGGCCACCGCGCCTACCTCTGCCTGCACAGATCATTGACACCCCTAGCCCAGAGCAGAAGCATATGGCAGTTCCCAATGGGACACAGAAGTGTGTCCTGGGATACTGAGACATTCCCAGGAGGGGACAGCACCCTGCCCATCCTTGCTAGGCTGGCATGGCAGCACTTGGCTCCCTCCCACTGCAGTGCACCCCTACTGCTGTGTCATGGTCCTCACTTCATCCCTCATATGCACTTCAAAATACTTCTGCGATAAAGAGCCTGGTTTGGACCTTCTGTGTGTGCAAGTTGTGGGCTGCCCCCGGGATGGGGCTGCAGGCAGGAACTGGGGTTGCTGGGGCACAGAGCAGGCAGGAAAAGCTGCCTCTGCTCCTGCCTGCCTGCGGTCACCCCCGCCAGACACAGCAGGGGCAGACATGCCAGACACCACCTCTCATGGCGGTGATGCCGCTGCGCCCTGGCACTGGGAACCAGGTTTGGCACAAAGGGGTGGTAGGGCTGGTGCCCCTGGCAATGCCAGGGGCACAGTGGGGGGAAACACATCCTGTGTGTGACAAGAAAAGAACTGGGTGTTGAGCCACCCCAGCTGCAGGTGGGGATTTTAATGGGCTGGCAGAGCGCTGTGGGGTGGGGATCCCCCTGCAGCAGTAGGGCACTCGGGCAGCCCCAGGCAGCGCAGGGTCCGCAGGAAGTGGGGTGGTGGGGGTGCACAGAGGGGGCCCTCGGGCAGCATGAGCTCCTGCAGGTGGATGTGGAGTGGGAGGTGACGGAGCTGCTGCGGTGAAAGTCCCAGCCGGGACAGCAACTCCTCGTCCAGCACCTGCAATGTGGGTGAGTAGCTCAGTGGGATCCTGGGGGCTATGCTGAATCCCCCAGCCAGCATCCACCCTGGCCACATACCTGTGTGCGGGTCGGGGCGGCCTCGGGGGTCAGCAGGAAGGGCACCCCCAGGACACTGCCCACACGGGAGGAGTGCTCATGGTCACCCAGTGCCGGACATAGCAGCAGCGTCAGGTGCACCTGAAGCTGTTCTGGGAAGGCTGGGAAGGCACAGGGGGAAGATGGGATTGTGTTGGTGGGGCAGCATGGCAGCATGGGGTGTGCAGCCACTCACCTGTCTTGGGCTGGAGCTGGAGGAGGGCACAGCCCCCCCTGGCACCAAGCACCCGGTAGTGTGTCAGGGTAATCTTCACCTCCTTCCTGGCCAGGCTGTGGCGTCCTGGGGCTGGCACTGGCACCACCTGTGGAGCACAGCCCTCAGCACTCCCCAGGGCACCTCCCACACCCCCAGCACCCTCTTACCATGGCAGTGTCACCCTGCTGCTGCCAGCACAGCCCAGTGCGGATCTCGCCCTCTGCCTCTGCCGGGACTCCCACAGTGACAGCACTGCAGGGAGAGGTGGTGAGGAGGGGACAGGACCCCCATGCCAGCACGGCAGGGGCCCAGGGACTTACCAGTATGTGGCAGGGTACTGGCCTCTCTGGCGGGCTTTGGCGAAGAACTGATGGAGCTTCTTAGTGGTGTGGTAGCAGCTGGACAGGAGGACGAGGCCAGAACATTCCCTATGGAATATGGCAGCTCTAAGCCCCAGAGGGGGAAAGGCCCCCCTGGCTCCGCCTCAGGGCCTCCAACCTGGAACTTCCCACCATACCTGGCAGGAGCCTTCACCACATGGAGGTCAGCAGGGAGGCCCAGCCGTCGCCTCAGCACTGGCAGCAGTGCATCCAGGCTCAGCTCGCCAGGCTGTCCTGGGGAGAGGTTGGGGGGTCAGCACCTGCTGAGCCTCCGAGGTAGGTACCCCCAGCAGACCTCCCTTCCTGCCCCATACTCACCCAGGACAGGCAGGCCTGGGGGCTTGTTCAGTGCCAGCAGGGCTCCTGGTGAGGGGAAACCTGGTCAGGATGTGCCCCCGCACTGTCTCCCTTGCCCCCATCTCCCTCTCCCCCCGGTACCTTCCTGGTGCACCACTGAAGCCTCCAGCAGCCCCAGTGTCTTCTCGGGGCCCAGTGGCCGCCTCTGCCTGCAGGGGATGGAGTGAGGGGGGAGCATGGGTGGGACTCCTCCAGCTGCCTACCCTGACCCTCCTCTACGTGTCCATAAATCACTTCTCCACTGACTACCCTGCCTTGCCAGGTGTGCCCCTGCACCCACACCTGTACCCCCTTGCCTGTCCCTGCACCCTCACACTTCCCCAGCCCGTGCTCACACATCTGCAACCTCAAGTGTCCCCACTCCCACACCCACCCCATAACCCCTCTGCACTCACATGTGTGCACCCATGTCACACACACCGTCTCACATGCACCTCACATACACGCACCCCTCGTGTCACGTACATGTGCATTCCATGTCACACACCCCATGCACATACACACACACCGTGTCATACGCCCCCCGTGTCACACCCCATGTCACACAGATCCCGTGTCACAGCGCCCCCATGTCCCACGCACCCCAGGTCTACATGTACCCCATATCACATGAACCCCATATCACATGTAGCCCGTGTCACACACCCATCTCACACAAGCACCCCGTGTATGTACACGCAGCCCCCATGCCACAAGCACATCGTGTACACCCGCATACCGTATCCCACGCACCCCA